ACGCAAAACCTGACATTCTGTCAACGACATATTAAAAGCCTTCAGACACGAAGTCTTAAGTTTGGCAATAGGCTCTCTGTCTGGAATGTTGTAGGCCAAGACGTTATGTGAAGACATAATCCTCTCAACAGCTTCAGCCAAATAGTCAATTATGAGCTCGCATTTGATAAGTGATTCAAGACAGATATTTTGTGATGGGTCACACAGTTGCGCTAGGGGCATAATGGTGTCAAACTTGCTCTGTATGTCTGCTATTAACTTCTGAAGTGTCAGTAAATCATCTCTGTCGGTTCCTCCATGATATGAGACACCATAACGCTGGGTCTGTCTGGTGTCAAAAGTGTAGAACCGTCAACGTAGCTGAAGCCTTCAGATGGTTGACGAGTATTAGATCTCATACTCTTAAGGGCAATTACACGTTTGATAGACTTAACCATCACAGAAACAAGAATTTTCACGATTTCCGGTAAAAAGTCTTGAGGATATAAAAAAGATAGCTGTATAATCGAAGTATCAAAACAACAACGATAAACATATATATGTTGCAAAATAAAAGGTCAGGCTTTCCTTTAACAGAGCTTACTGTGGATAAAATCCTGAGCTGAATGAAGCCACTCATACAGTCATCGCCAGTGCCCTTCATAACCATGTTATCTCGGGTATAGAAGCAAAGATTAGGTGCTTGTATCATGGAGGTGCTTATAACTTCGAAATGAGAATACCGAAGAGTGTGAAGCGGTGCAACCACCCTTGATATGTAATTTAGTGGCCATCGAATTCCTCTGTTCGGGACTCCACAAACACTACACTGTTACCACAATGTTTTCTTTAGGGGGCAACTTATTGCTAACATCTGGAGTGCTTTCCGCATGACTGTGTTCCACCTACATGGTTGTTTATTACTCAATGGACAGTGGTTTAGTTTTTGATTCCTTTACATTCTCAGTGGAGCAAGGCTTCAAACTAGAGCTTTGCAGTTTCGGTAGCAGTGGCATTTTTTACGGGGTGGAGTTACTAGCCTAATGCCCAACCTCCTTTCTTTACTAGTCTTATTGCCGGCTTGGCGAGGCAAAGGTGTGCGTCGACCAAGGATAGAACCCTGCACCACAAGCATGGCTGGCGAGCGTTCTAACGTTAGGCCACCGACGGCTGAGTGGTTTACTGGAAAGCACTAATCGGACAGTTAGTGCCCTTCGCCATTCTCTCTGTCGATTGAAGATAAATACCTGGAATAATGTAATATTCCTCCCTCACTCCCCGACCACTCCTTCGTTCATTCAGCCACGGATTTTTCTCCCACCCTATTTTTGTTTACTAACGAATCACGTCTCATAGTTGAGGTTCAAACACCAGTCCTAACTTTTGCTCAGATAGGTTCGAGAATCGCGTAATTGATTGGCAATAGCCTATGATATGGCATGCACCAGAGATCTGTCATCTAGCTATCAGTGCAAAAATACCTATGGTCTTTTTATTTGCGGATCTTTTCACCCAATGGTCATCTATTTTCATTTCCACTACACATGGTGAAAATCCTATTCTCCACCTCAGAGGCCATTTGAAATCACGCATGCACAACATCTAAATACGTATTTCATGAAAGATTATCATTATTGCTACTCACTGTAGTCAGCTGGGACCCTACCGTGCATTCCATCACGACAACCTTCTCAAATTCTACAAACCAGACGATTGATGAACAGAGTACCAAGTCTCTTAAACTTGGCACTGAGGAGAGGAGACGGAGCAACGAAAAGAGACTGTATAGACTGCAAGGAATTCACCCACACTCTTTCAGTTTGATTCATGCTCACTTTACGCATGCTGTTCAACATGTGTTCTGTTTTGTTTATCTGAGTGCTCACTCATTGCCTGAAGACATTGGCGGGCTCCCGAGAAGTTACTCAGCGTGTCGTTACTATGAGCGAGAGCATTAAAGTTGTCTGCCGTGTAAGACCACTTAATGAGCAAGAGAAAGCAAATGACAGCAAGTTCGTGGTGTCATTCCCCGGTGATGGAAACACAACTGTATCTCTTGGGGTATGTTTGATGGTTTTTAGTTTGTGACAACTCTTCTATCTAGGGTAAAAACTATAGCTTCGATCATGTAGTTCAGCCGAAGGCATCTCAGTTAGAGGTGTATGAAGTTGTGGCCAAGCCCATTGTTGCAGATGTGCTGAACGGATATAATGGGACAATATTCGCCTATGGTCAAACTTCGAGTGGAAAGACTTTTACTATGGAGGTATGACATTCTGCTTTCTGATTGTTTCTCCTCAGGGTATTTTAGGTGACCCAGTCTTTCAAGGTATTATCCCGCGGATAGTTCATGATATATTCAACCATATACACCAAATGGACGAAAACTTGGTGTTCCGTATTAAGGTAATTTTTGTGGTGCTGTTCTTATCTTCAGGTTTCTTACTTTGAAATATACATGGAAAAAATCCGTGATCTGCTTGATGGTAATTTTTTCGATCTAATTTATATCTTGATTCAGTTTCGAAAACAAACCTACCGGTGCATGAGGATAAAGACCGAGTTCCTTGCGTGAAAGTAAGCTATAATTCCTCCTAACGAGAATCTCCAAGGGTGTCACGGAAAAGTTTGTTTACACTCCAGAAGAGGTTTTCGATGCAATTGATGAGGGGAAGGCTAACCGTCGTGTGGCCGTGACGGGTAAGTATTCCTAGCATATATCGTACTTGAGCGTTAGCGTTGTTAGCTAGGCTTGGTGGTTTGACTGAAATATTAGTTTTCTGTGCATGAAATTTAAGTTATCTTGGAGTTTATATGACATTGAGGATATTTGCTGACACTAATTTGTGACTGCTTATGTATTTATAGACATGAATGAGCACAGTTCTCGAAGTCACTCAGTACTCCTAATCAATGTTCGACAAAAGAACTTGGAAACTCAAAAGAAACTATATGGGAAACTTTATCTTGTTGATTTGGCTGATAGTGTGACAGTTGCGAAGACAGGCGCTGAGGGTACTGTATTGGACGAAGCCAAAAATATTAACAAATCGCTTTCTGCTCTTGGTAATGTGATCAATGCACTTGTGGAAGGAAGTGTAAGTTTATACTTTCAGGTGGTGGTAGTAGTAGTGCTTGTATTCTAGCCACTGTTGACTTTGAATTTCCACGTGATTATGACACGTGAGATATTGAATTGTTGTATTTTGATCACGTATGTGCTCACTTTTTAGCAGAGTTCTGTACTGTGTATGTTTCTGAGGCAGGAAAATCCGTCACACTAACTCATATTTTTAGCCTCTACGGTGACCTGAATCTCTTGTCTGCATATGTTGTACTTATTTGAAGATAACTCCTACTGCCTTATCAAGCTATTGATCTGTTAAATAATTTTCTGTTTCAGTCTCATGTTCCTTATCGTGACTCTAAACTAACTCGCATTCTTCAAGAATCTCTTGGAGGTAATGCACGAACAACTATGGTGATTTGTTGTTCTCCTGCTGGGTACAATGATGCCGAGACGAAGTCCACCCTAATGTTCGGTATGCGAGCTAAAACCATCAAGAATCTGGTAACGGTGAACGAAAAGCTTACGGCTGATGGATGGCGTACAAGGTATGAGCGAAAAAGAGAGGAAGTTAGGAAGTTGCGCAATATTGCAAGTCATCTCAAGGGTGACTTTAAAAATTTGCAAGCCGGTAAGAAATATTTACTGTAACTGTTTTCTGTTTAAGTTTAACTTGAAGGTTTTGAAAATTAAGGATTCAAAATTGTATATGTATCAATTGCCGGTATCCAGTTTAAGCTGTTTCTGTATCATAGTTATTTTTATTTATTTATCTTTTTGTAAATTGTATTCCTGTGGGTAGGAATAAAGAATAAGGATGAGAATGTGAACAAATAGCACAGAGGGAAAGTAAGATATTGGTGTGGGGGTATACTTGGAATATTGAAAATATCAGCAGCATAAAGTGACTGAGTTACCTAGAGCAGATTTCTCGTGTATTGGGCCGTAAACCACACATATTTTGTGAAAATTAATGTTGCTACCAAGTTGGGCAGGTTGAGTTTGATTTAACAGGATTTAAATGCCGAACCCATGGACTAAAAATGGAGCGCTTAAGCGAATCAGCCGCACGCCGATCAGAACCTATGGCTAGAAACTCCTGGTGATAGTGTTCAGAATTGATCGCAGTGATGATAGGGGTGGATTCATGGTTTGTGCCTATCCTTGTTATAATAGCTCATTTATCTATTTACATTATCATCTATTTCTTCGTTTTATCCTGCTTTACGACCGATTAGATTATTTCCATCCTGTTGTCTAATTATCTGCTTGATGTGCGTTGATGTATGGCTGATTGTGTTAAGTATGTAAAGTTGAGTTAATGGGTGAGGAGGTCGAAAGCCCACTCTGCTTATTTTAGCCTAGGGAACTGGCTATTGTCACCAGTCGTCATCTGTCAAATGTAACTCATAAAGGCGGTCGTAGGAAATTGAGTTATAATTTAATGTGGAGAAATGGCATGTTGCAGTTAAGATCACTAGTGGAGTAATATTATGTCCTATTTTGGTATATTGACAATGCGGTCACAGGAAATCACTCCTATCATACTGAACTCATGTATATAGACTGAGGAAAGGTGTAATAGTTCCAGCGAACATTGTGCATAAATATGCGGTTGAGTGACCATTATTTACTTCTGTCGATGTAGTGGTTGTTGGTGTGAACATGTGAGGGGGTGTTTGGACCGTCTGGCTTAGCTGAGGGTCCTTGGGATAGTGAAGATCATTAACTAGAGACCCGGCACGGAAACTTAAACTTCTGTGTGGAGCTATGCTTTGATCTGTAATTCAAACAGGGAGTATCTTCTTCACCGAGTAAGCTTACTAATTAATGTTTTAACTATTTGACTGACTGATTGGTTGTTGTTTGTGTGTATTTCTGACTGAACTGATGGCACTTTGGCAACCAAGAACGTGTTGTTACAATTCAGAAGTGGTTATTCCATTCCGATTGTATGCTTGCCTCGGCTTTTTATTTTGTATGCGAAGTTATCGAAATGTATTTGATGATTTGTCAGTTTCTTTTTAATTTTGTTTTGTTTTGTTGAAACCATGAGATATTACACGTTCTTGTCGTATCATAAATACTATGTAGAACGTTGATCATTGTGTGTTGTTTTTCTCTCAGCCTTCACTGTCGGAGCTGGTTTGGCTTTGGCAAGGAAAGTTGGAGATGAACGGTTAAAGTTGCTTTATCAGCAACTTGACGACAAATATGATGAAATAACTAAACAAGCTGAGACAATATCGCGTCTTCGACAGCAAATTAAAGAGCAAGACGTGGTGAACAATTCTTTGCGTATAGAACGTGAGGGACAATTAAAAGAAATTACAACTCTTCAGGTAAGTGGTAATACATGTTATGAACTTTGTATAAATTTATATATCCATGGAAGTGTATTGAAAGGTGATACATTTTAGCCGTTATAATTAACTGCTTTTATCATTTGGTAGATTTTCTGAGGTCCGTTGTGTTGCTTTTCATTGGAGAGTAGAAGGCGGTGGGTGGAGGTTGAGAGAAGGCAAGATTCAATGGCCACTTGGATTTCGACGAAGTTGTCGATGAGTCACACCTATTGTATGTGAGCACTAATCGTACCACTGGTGCCTTGTTAGTGGTTGCCCAAACCCTCTGTAGGAAAAGTGAGGTTCTTAGCGCGTTACCCATTGACTGGTAGTGGAGTGAGTGCATAAAAATGTATGAGCCCCAGTTGCATTCTTGTTTTTCATTGAATGTGAATACTATGTTCTTGTGACTGTTGTTTCAGATGAGCTTCTTGTTAAAGTGGTGTTTGATATTAGTTAATGATATAATAGTGTTTTCCTGTCATATTGTGAAGAGGTTTTTTTTAGAAATTATTTTTGCAGTGAATCTCTCCTGTGTTTTCATGTAAACTGGTTTAAAGTGCTTTCTTCCTCCTCAGAGTGCATGTTATTTTGTTTGCTTATTCTGGTGAACTTTCAAGCAGTAGTAACAGTAACAGTGGTAAGAGTAGTAGAAGTAGTAGAATGACTGTGGTTTGACTTTACTGGTAAAGATGATGATGGTGTAGGCATGAGTTTTCATCATTCATAGTGGATGAGTGAAATTACTGAACTCACGTGGTTCTTACACACTAAATTGGGAAAGGCTATAAATAGATGAAATGTGGAAAGACATTGTGGAAACTTTCAGACTGAAGGGTAGGTATTTGTCTTAAGTCTAACCGTTTCATAATTACGATGAATCGGCAAGTATTAGAGTACTGAAGTTATTTCCCTCTTCTTTCTAAAGCACATGATGACTGCCACTCGTTTTTGACAACCAGCAACTTGGATTTTGCCTATCCACTAATGTCTTTTTATTCATCTTTACTGCATCCTCCCTCCCTCTTCACCCCGTCTGCTCTGTAGAAGAAATACTCACCGAAGTCAACATAACTCACATAGTATTGTATTGATAGGATTATTATTTTTGTGAAATGTTTCCTCTAAATGGATTATTTTTCTTCACTCATTGTGTGTGTGTGTGTGTGTCAAAGCTGAATACCAGTCGAGCAAAGATGAAGTGAAGGAAGTCCTGCAAGCCTTATAAGAATTAGCTTGAGGTTTCGGTAGCAGTGGTGTTTACTTTTACAGGTTGGGGTTGCTAGCTTTATGCCAAACTTCCCCCTTTACCAGTCTTATTACTGGCTTACAGAGGTAAAGGAATGTGCCTGTGACCGAGAATCGAACTCCGGACCACATTAGGCACGGTCGGTGGGCAGTCTACCGCACTTTATCACATTATTGATTGTTTGATGGTTGCTCATATATATATAGTTTTATAAGATTTGAACACTGTGGATTCAAGTGTAAAATTCCATGTTAGTTATTTTTAATGTGCCGATTTCTCTTTTAGTCTGCAAATCGCGTGAATGCACTGGCAGCGGCTGAAAAAGCTGCAGGTAACCAGCAAGGCGGATATATGGCCAGTCAACAACAAGAAATCTCCGAAAGTATATTCATGGACGATGATGACGATGAACCAGGTCTAGCTGGTTCACTGGCTCAATTAGAGAAAATTGCCTTCCTCGTAAAAGATCGAGGCAAGTTGACTAAAGTGCTTACACAACTTGTAGACAATGTGGAGCTGGCTGGCTGGCTGGATTCAACATAGAACTTGGCACCGAAGTGCAGCAGTTCGGGTTGCCACGTTCCAAATAGCACACAAAGGTAGACAGGAAAATGAGTGAAGAGAATCAATAGAGTTTTGACAAGTATAAGAGTGAAACAGAATGAGTAATGGTAGAAAGGAATATGAAAGATTACAGAGACTGAATACATCTGCGTAAGCCATTGACAACAATTTTGAGCCATGTCACCTATTGTCTCCAGCCATTGATTCTTAGAGTCCCGAGGGCCCCAACCCGGAAGTCTGCATCTCCCTACCTGACTCAGTTTAACTGTCAGGGATTTCATGGATTGAGGCCATGTTTTTGTTTGGCCACCACTTACTCTTTTCCAACCTGCACCTGTATCAGCTAGTACTGCCCGTCGGGTGGGGGAGGCGATGGTTATGCATGCGCAGCACGTGACCTAGCCATCTCAATCTGTGTAACTTTATAGCCTCTTCGATTGATTTTCCCTCTTTGCCCAGCACTCTACGCCTAACGTCAACATTACTTACCTTATTATGCCACCTAGCGCGAGAAAGAGATCGTAAACATCTGTGTTCAAAAACAGACAACCTTTTCATGTCTTCAACTCGTATTGGCCATGTTTCAGAGCCATAGAGGAGAAGGACGCAGCGAGCTGCTGAGCA